TTAACTGGCGGTTAAAATTAGACCTCCCAGTGGTAAAACCGATCGTCCGCAGTAGTTGCAATTTTACTTGGTATTCGATGCATCAGGATTTCTGAGAAGCGCAATGCACCGCAAATCGATGGGTCGACCTGATATTCGACACATGGAATTTGATTCATTTCTAGTTTAGCGAATTCTCGGTGCACATTAGATGATGCCGTACACTAATTTGTAATGATGGCGTCAGCCACTAGTAGACATGCTTCGGATTTCAACTATTACATACTGGGTTTAATAGGGCGTCGTGTGTTATAAATTTGTCGGTCTACTTAGTATAAAAATAATGCAGCTCTTGAGCACAGACTGAACACATGCACTATTCTCGTTTCTGCCTTAAGCCCATTTCGCTTGTCCGCATTACACTTACTGCAAGACCTGCATCGTGAGCCACCGTTTTCGTCGACAATGCCCATCTGTTGAGGGCGCTTGCACTTTGAATAATCATGCGCTGGAAGAGCGGACGAGACTCGTTTGAGAGGTACTGCAACGTGACACTCGCCGCGCCAGCAGACTCTCCAAACAGCGTCACCTTCGTCGGATCACCTCCGAATTTCACAATGTGTTTTTGAACCCACTTTAGGGCAAGCTGTTGATCCCAAAGACCCATGTTTCCCTGAACCTCCTTGTCTACGTACAGGAAACCAAATGGTCCCAAACGGTACTGCATGGATACCACAATGACGTTCTCCTTAGCTGCAAGAAACCTGCCATCGTAGACGTCGAGTGTGGACGTTCCACTGAAGAAGCCACCACCAAAAATCCACACCATCACAGGCAACAACGTTCCGTTTGCAGTCCCATTCGCAGACAGCAACGTATCATTGGAAGATCCTTTTGCAGAAAGCAACGTCCTATTGGCAGATTTATTCGCAGGCACCCACACGTTGAGATAGAGACAATCTTCACTCATATTCGTATTGTTAACCCAAACCCGTGCCGCAGGATTGGCCAAATCAAAACCATTGAATATGTATTGCCAGCATGAATTTGAACGCTGAGTTGCGTTAAATTGCCCAGTCCATAAGTTAGCTTCTTTAGGAGGAGCAAAACGAAGGTTGCCAACAGGTTTTTCTGCAAATGGGATGCCTAAATATGCGTCCACATCGACACTATCGATGGTGTATTTGATGCCCTTCAGAGTGGCATTTTCTGTAAGGTTTATGAAGGCATAGCGGGTGGTGTTGTTAGTGGCTTCAACAAAAGCAACTGCGAAGAAGACAAATAGCAGCATTTCGGGAATGAAGTCCCTTCACATGTCGATTGTTTAAGTAAGATATTTTGCGTGTACATGATAGGTCAATTGGTGTAGCCAATTGTCGTTAGATTGATCCATTAAATAATAAATTGAAGGGTAGACGTCATATCACGAAATTACCAACGTCATACTGTGCATCATCATAAGTGGATTACCACCTCCTCAAATGTACTTCCACAAATTTATGTGCCTGAATATGCAATTCCATCAAAATGATGTCAGTTCAAAATGGGCTTAGTGCAGAATTTTCACATTCTAAAGACTGAACGTTTAATTCACCTTATTACTTCTTCATTAACTCTCTCAGTTTATTATAGAACACGACGTTTGTCTTGGGCACTTAGGAGGACAGCAAGTCAAGGAACTCGCACTAAAATGCATTTATACCATATTCGTGTTATTTAAAATGAAGGAACCCAACGTGTCTCGTTATGGTCTTGTCCCTTTCTCCGTGCTGTGAATGAAGGTCCGCGTTGAGTTACACACAGAACACCTTTGCCAACTAATAATTGTTTGTTAAATTCAATGCTCTAACGCATTAAAGAGCAAAATTAGGGCTTGGATTCTCACCAGGTTTAAATGGAAGACAAAAAACAGTATTTCACGAAGTTCAATTAGAGCTGTTCAAAGCGCTGTTGCAGAAAGCGGTCTTTGGGTTCCCTGGATCAGGTCGATTGATGCCACAGTTTTGAGCATCTTAAAGGAGCCAACCCAGGTCGAAGTAAATAACAGGTTTAAAAAATTGTCAAAACTAAAGAGTTGGGGTGCTGCGTTCGAGGCGTTGTAGACTGTGAATGCATAAATTGCATAATTTACCTCAAAGGAAAGGAGACGAAGCTCAGTGAAATGACCTTTCCCCTCAAATCAGTTGGGTTCAGCTGTGACAGGACATTGCATAAAGAACTTTGTTGTTTATTGTGTAATCGCAACTTAATTAATCACAAACGGATCTCAGAACTCAACTGTCATTACCTATATATTACAACATCGTCCGCAAATAATCAAAATTCTTTTATAAGCCCATTTAGCATGAATCGCTCATGGGCTTGCTTGACAATGTGATGTTGACGTTATTCAGGGCCTGACTTGCCAATGTAGTCAAGTGCATCTCATTTGACAGGTATCCTAAACATATGTTTGCAAAAGTTCGCAAAAAACTATCACGCTTTAATTGGCGCTGCCTAGAATATTTTTTTAAAGGCACATTTGAAGCCACATATATTGCACACTTTGCACTGGTGGCTTAATTAAATCAATGATAAAATCAGGATTGCAATCTGATGAGATGGCAAGGGTGCTGTGCTCGTTGATAGCTTGGATCGAAAAAGCTGGACGATTGTTGCACAGTGCCATGCAATGCCTCACCTCTCAACTACACTCCACCACCATTTTTCATTTTTGAATGGTTGGCAGAATCTTCAGCCAATGCGCTAACACAAATGACGATGGTCTACAGTCATGCTTGGTCCCTTTTACAGAGCGCCGATAAGGGATTCACTATGCCCGGATTCACTAATTAGTCACAAAAATTTGTTTTTCATTGTAGCCTTCCCAACAAGTGTGTCATTACTATCCAGCTTAGTTAGTGGTTTCTTGGCAAATACGTTTGCTGTGATTGTTTGTGAATCGGCCAAGTCAGTAAAAAGTCTGAATCAGTCACGCACTTTTGCAACAACGCACAAGCAAACGACAGGCAGCGTTAAGCAGATGTTGCAAAGCTGGAGTATTCGACGCAAGTCAGGGCTCCATTAGAATGCTGTGTTGACATGACAACGTCGGCAGACAAAACGAATTCTTGCTTCACACGTGGCATGGCATTCAGGCAAACCTGGGAGTGTCCATAACACTTCATTTGTCTATTTCTCGACACCTCAACTTTGAATACTTCATCCTCCTCCTGTTGCACCATCGCATTTTGTGTGTGCAGAAGGATTATCGGTTCAATCACTTCAATTGTTGCATAAATATTGCACTAATACAATTAATCTAACAGACAACTGGTAATAGTGTGCCTTTTTTCTGAGCCTCGATTTTTTTTTGGGAAAACGTGATGCATGTTCTAACAATCAGCATCACGCAACATCAATTTTATTACCAGGCAGAACAGGTTACGCGTGCCTGATAATGCCTTCAGATGCTTCATTGGGTTAAGAGTAAATGTCAGAAATGCTTACCAGATAAAAGAATGGCTGATTGCATAGATGTTGTTGTATGCAGTAAAAATCTAAAAAGGTCTGAAAGAGAAACTTTTGGCAAGTAATAGTAATCGAGGCTCAAATGGGAAAAGTAGCCCTAATGTTATGCTAGTGGACTTTATTTGTGGCACAAAGTGACGAAATCTAGTGTTATGAGCCTAGTCTTCGTCAAGTCACTAGGATTCCACCAGTGATATATGCATTGTAATTGTTTAATTGAGACAGACTTCCAAAAGTATGCGCTCTTTGTTATTCAGGATTAATCTCATGGATTAGGTCTTTCAGAAGATCCGTCAGAAAACAGTTGTCGTGAATATTTACGTCCGTTTTCCCTTGTGCGCAGCATTGCGTTGTCAACATAAACGTCAACAAATAGGTGAGCGAAATTACCAACGGCTGAAAATTCTGAAAGTGCATTTTTAT